TATATATATATATATATATATATATATATATATATATATATATATATTAGCACCATTTGCCATTTCTGTGCATTCTGCAGAGAACATTGCCAAAATATCAGTGTTTTCTATTATTATTTTCTATTTTTTCAGACGTTTTAATTTTTACAACTCAATTTAGGATTGCATAGTAAGCATGAGAGAGAGAGATTTAAAATATACGAAACTAAGTTGTAATGTTTTCTCATGACTCAGGAAAGTATAAAACCCAAATGGAGTTTTTTTGTGCAGGCATTGCGGTTCTATTTCTCAACATCTACATACCTTTTAAGCATAAGAACTGATCCTTAAATTATTATCTAGACGACATGACAGTGCATCCATTTTACCTAAAAGTATGTCCCATTGAGTTCAGTGGCCATTTCTCTGAAAGTAAATAGATACTGAGTTAGAGCCAGAAATCAAGTAGCTAGTCCAATGATGATGCTAATTCATTTTGCAGAAGTGACTGCTTGCAATACAAGAAATATGAGCATGGAATATCCACAGGAATTATGACAAATCTGAAAGAATATTCTGAACAGTTTAAAGACATGGTGACCTTTTATCTAGGCTGTAGTTTTACATTTGAAAAGGCACTCCAGAAAGCTGGCATTCCTGTAAGAAACGTGGAACAGAAATGTAATGTAAGCATGTACAAGGTAAGAATAGAGGAAAACATTCAAAAAGTAAAAACCAAGAGAGTCCAGTTCTCTTTTGGAAAGAGCACCTTTGAGACAGTATCTCCTGGAGATCTGCCATCCAAGTATTAATCTGACTCTAACTTCCATTAGCTTTAGACTCAACCATCAGCCAAGTACTGCCACCTGCTGGGAATATTTCTTAAAACATATAATACTATATAAATAGTGGCAAATACAATAAAAATAATTATTTGTATTAGCTCAGAAAGAACTGTAATACAAAATTCTAATGCTCTTTTCTAGTTTCTAGTGAACAGAACAGCCAATTCTTTCACTCTTTCCATTTTTATTACTTTTTGTTTAGCTGATAACTTTAATATACTCAGTTGCTGTCAAATACAGTTGTTTGATTTGTAATGTTAGGAATCCTTCTTTATTTCTGTTGTCTGGATGTGATCACTGCTTATTAAAAAAATAGAGATGCCATTTTAGTTGTAATATGAAACAAGTATTCCCACCCATTAACATGAACCCGTTATTTACTCCAACACTAAGATAAATAATAGTGTTTTCTTTCTATGCCTTCGAAAGGCCTGAGACCATATGGAGCCTATGGAGTGTTGAAATTATATCCAAGTATTGCCAAATATACCAAGTGATTAAAACGTTACTTTGGAAAATTCAGTTTTGTTTCAGAACATAGAAGTATTTGATTAATATAGTTTCATTAGCTGTTCACCAGAACTAGCAAATAACCACCCGAGGGCGGCAGATATAATAATGATGATGATGATGATGATAATTCTTTGCCGCCATTTGGTGGTCATTTGGATTTTTGTAGCCATAGGCAGGAAGTTTTCACTATTAGTGTTATAATCCATTCTTAATTGAAGAAAAAATTAATTTTTTCTCAAAACAAATACAATTTTTTTCTCAAGATCAGCTATTAATCACAGCAGGAGACATACAGCATCCAATTTGCTCAGCTTCCCCTTTTATTTGATTGACACGTATTATAGTCTGATAGAAGCTTATTCCTTTCTTAATGCAAGCCTTCAAAGTGAATAAGCTGATCAGCATGTGATTAACTACACTTGGTTTCATGTTGAGATTAGTTTAACTGCAAGGGATATTTTTACCAATAAAATCTGTGTTTTTACTTGCCATTATTTTGGGGCAGCAATCTTATATTTCATGCTGAACCTCAATTACTGTAATACTTGCCTATTTTTATTTAATTGCAAAATCTTGAAACAATAACTTAATGCCACTAGAAAATAAAACAAATCTAATATAACATTACTAATTTATCTAATGTTTCAATGTTTAGTTGCCGTGACCGTGTATTTAAATAAAAAGCAATAGCAATGACATGAGCTTAAATAGAATGCCACATAAATCATAAAGGTAATAATAGATGATACGTGGGTGAAGACAACTGAACATGCTAGTGATTAATCTTGTAGCCTTTTATCACCCAATTGCATTTATCTCAAAGGTAGAATATCTTCTACTTGAAAGAAAAAGTCCTTGGAGATGTCTTTGTTATTCTTAATGCTTGGATCATTTTTTAAAAACTTTACCAGACTGCTGTTCCTTGCTGCGATACTGGATGTTTTCACTGTAATCTAATAGTAACTATGAGATGTATACCTAAAGATAAATTGAAGGAATGTGTGCAAATCACCCATCCAATGAAAAAATCACATGGAGCACCAGTTCACATTGGCTCTTCTGGTCAGTGTATTTTTTTTTCTGTGTTTCTATGATTTATAATACAAAGTATGCATGAGAGAGAAAACTAACAGGCCTTAGGCTTGCCTGGCTTACTAATGTACAGTCTAGCTTTGTAGTGACTTTATGTATAAGTAAGAGAATTTTAAAGAATTCCACCCTAGATCCTACTAGTAATTCCAGCAAGTGCTGGGTAAAAAGCCTCTAGGTACACTAATGTTTTTAACAATTGTAAACTGCCCAAAGTTGTTGGGTCAGGTAGCATATAAACTACTCAGAGTCATTGGGTCAGGTAACATATAAACCACTCAAAGTCACTGGGTCAGGTAGCATATAAACCACTCAATGTTGTTGGGTCAGGTTGACTGCCCAACCCTGTCTGGCTTATTATTAATCATGCCTGGCTTTATTATGAAGTGAACATAAAATAAAAGTCAATGGTTATCATATAAAGTCATACAAAGTTAATGAATTATGGTTGTTCATGCAGGCAGTTATATGTATGTATGTATTCAATATCTATAGCTTAGACTGGATTTAGTATTTTTTTCTTCTATTTTTATTTTATTCAAAAAAAGTTAAAATACAAAACACCAAAAAGCCAGATTCCAATTATTATTATTGTTGTTGTTGTTGTTATTGTGTTACAGACTTTTCAGTGAGATCTCTATCTGCCCTGAGGTTCAGTTTCCCACATATTTTTCCAACAAAATAAAAAGTTATGCCAAAAATTTATCACATTTGTTACCTGAACCAGTAATTCCTTTACACGGGTACAGTGTAAATGAACCATTGACTTTTATTTTATGTTCATAATAAAATGAAAAGCAATGAAGTTGCTATGTACTGGATGGCGGGAAACATATGTTCTGATGCCAGAGATGTCTGTATCCTATGCAACAGTATCCCACCAACATCACTTTCTATGCCACATCCTATGCTTTATTGGGAAGTTGCCAGATGTTTTATAACATTAAACCCCAGTCTAATTGGGTTTTCTACATCTCTGCTTGAATATTAATAAAATTTCAATTTTAGATTTGTTAGGAATTAAAGATCTTTCCAGTCCAGAATATGGTGATGCAGTACAAGCTCATCCTGGAGATGTACCAGTCTTTTGGGCCTGTGGAGTAACAGGAATAGAAGCCATCATCAACTGCAGTATGTATTTAGTGGAATTACCAGAACTGCTGCTTTATTATAAAAAAACAGTGATACTTAAAAGTTGTTGTTTGGTCACTTCTGATTCTTCATGACTCAATGGACATACATACTTGCAGTAATTGCTTCTTTGGATTTGTATAAGCTCATGTTCATATTATCTGTGATAATATCAGCCACCTTGTCTTCTATTGGACTCTTTTACAATTGCTTTTGTTTTTTTCCAAGCCTCAAGGTCTTCTGCATTAAATCCTGCTTTCTCATGTGTCTGAATTTTAAAATATAACCTACATAAAAGAACCAAAAACTCTGATAATCCATCTTCCGGGGTGGGGGGGTTGCCTTGAACTTAACCTTGCAGAATTTTTTTCCAGAAAGCTATCATTTTCCCTTAATCATGCACAGAATAGTTCTGTAAAATAATGATGAAGATTCTTATTACATGCTAAGCATTGAAGAATTGCATTTCTTTTTTCTGTGTATCCTGCCATGATGAGAGTAAGGCAGATACTTATCTGAGATCCACTTAGTTGTGATATGTTTTCAAAAAAACCTTTGGAAATTATATTCATGCAGTCTAAAATTTCTTAATAAAAATTATGAACATTTGTTTGGGATTTTGATTAAACACTATTACTGTGTTTCTATCTTTTAGAAAATAAGCTATCCCACCCAGCTGGTCATCATCTGCAAATTTTTGGGCATTCCTTATAATTCATCATCAAAATCATTAATGAAATAGTGAAGAGTAAATGAGCCAGGACTTGTTATCTCGCCAATGTGATAAGGAACCATTGATGAACAGTCTTGGAATAGAATATTGAGCTAACTGAATATCTACTTGTCATGCCAACCAGTCTATACAAAGCTGCTAATCACCATGTAGTGTATCAAATGCTTTGCTGAAGTACATTATGATTTTAACATCTTTACATTCTGCTGAGAAAGTTACATGATACACATGAATAATGTAGCAAGGTATATTCTTGACAAATTCAGGTTGATATTTGATAATTAATTCTTGGTTTTCATGGTTCTTATAGATCAGGTCTATCTATACCTATCCATCCATCCGTATATCTATCTATCTCTATCTATCTATCTATCTATCTATCTATCTATCTATCTATCTATCCATGTTGTCATCTATTTAGCATCTATCTATCTAGCATCATATTTATTTGCTGCCTATCTTGCAATTCAAGGTGATTCTTCTCAGTTATCTGTAGTTTGCTAATAAAAGTTTGGCTAGCTAGGCTATTAGCTAGCTCCTTTATAATTCTTTGCATTTGGTTCTGGAGATTTAAACTAAAGAATCAGAAGTCTGGCAACATTTTTTCAAATTAACAAAGTTTATTAGAAAATAAGCTAATTCATGAGCTGCAGCACATTGCATCATATGCACAGAGTGGCTTGGATATCTTCAATTACAGGCTCCTTCACCACCCCTTCCTCTTACATAATAACCTACCATCATCTGCCGGCAATGTCCCTCTGGATTCCATAAAGTACAAAGAGAGCCAACTTTGTGCAAGAGCATTAATGGGGACACGTTTGATATTAGGACTCAAAACAAGGACAAAGTATTATCAGATTGTTTTAGCCTCTCGGGACGCACCATAACAGACCTCAAAATGACTGTTTTGAAAAGTGGGACTTTAACAATCTATCTATCAAATGAGAAATGGTTGAAGTGTCAATACATCAAAAGGTTTCAGCCAATCTCAGAAGGTCTAGACAAAACAAAAAAGTTTGTAACAACTGTACAGTAGTCCTCAACTTACGACCGCACTTGAGTCCAAAATTTATGTTGCCACAGTTGTTAAGTGAATCACTGCAGCAGCTAAGTTAGTAACACAGTTGTTAAGTGAACCTGGATTCCCCATTGACTTTGCTGGTCAGAAAATTGCAAAAGGTGATCACATGTCCCCAGGATACTGCAACTGTCATAAATAAGGGTCAGTTGCCAAGCATCTGAATTTTGATCACGTGACCTTGGGGATGCTGCAATGGTCATAAGTGTGAAAAAGTCATAAATCATTTTTTTCAGTGCCATTGTAACTTTGAATAGTCACTGAATGAACCGTTGGAAGTTGAGGACTATCTGTAATAGTTAATTGATAAAGTACTTGTAATTTTTATCACATGTAACCTTCATCTGCATAAACAACCTATTTTCATCTGCCTTTTCTCCCACCTTCTCTCCCCACCTCATCCCACTTTAAAACTATATCAGCCTAGACACTTTGTGTATCTGATGAAATAAGTGGCAACTCATGAAAATTTACACCTTTTAATAAATATATTAGCTGGAAAAGGTGCTATCAGACTCTACCAGCTATAGAGTAGGCAGTAGTAAGATAATCATGTATTTGTTCTTTTTTTTCCGGACACCCACTTTTATATTCTGTTGATATTCATTTATTATATTTTCCTTCATGGCCAGCTCTTCTTGCACACCACTTTTTCCATACCCTTTCCTCTAAAGCAGAGGTTGATTACAAGATAAATGTTGTCCAGTATTTTGGGGACCAGCTATAGTTTCTTAAGGAGAAAGTGCATCACTGTATTTTCAGAGCAAAAAGGATCACTCTTCATTCAAGGATAAATTCACTATTTTATCCCAAGCAGAAGGGACATAATCTATAGGTCCGTGATGGTGAACCTATGGCTTGTGTGCCAGAAGTGATACACAGAGCTATCTCTGCTGGCACGCAAGCCGTTGCCCCAGCTCAGTTCCACTGCACATGCGTGCAAGCCTCCCATCAGCCAGCTGATTTTTGAGTATCTGCCACGGATGCGTGGGGGATCAGGCACTTGCAGAAGATGCGCATGCATGCACAGGGGGCCGGTGGGGGCTCAGGTGGTCACACGTGCATGTGCAGGAGATGGGGGGAGCACGGGAGTGGTTGTGCATGCATTGCATTATGGGTGCAGGCATGTGAGCACAGGCACGCATGAATGCACTTTTGGCACATGACAACAAAAAGGTTATCCATCACTGCTATGGGTGGTTGCACTAAGAGCTCTGAGAACTCTGTCCGTTTCCTTAAAATTCATGTGCTCAAACTCCTTCCAGATAGAAAGGCCTTCATGCCTGCTGTACACTGCTTATTGAGGTTCTCTTTATTTTTCAGAAGCTCCACTGGCTTTTACCCATTCACCTGGTTGTATGTTTATTACTGATTTGGAAGTTGAAGATAATGCATCCAGTAATGATAAGGATCTCCCTGAAGTCTACTGTATTTCTCAGGATCCTTTGCATTATAGCATTGCTTCAACAGCAGCTGTAAAGAAAATTAGATGCTTAGAAAATATAATAGCGAGAGATCCAGGTAAGAGAAAAAAATGCAACCATGTTATGAGTCTAAAAGGTTTACTAGAAAAAGTGGTCTCTGTATAATTTTCCACAGCAATCTTGTCAAAAGGAAAAATTGAATAAAAAAATCCTATCTCTATTGTATCCATTTATTTCCAAACTATCCCTTTATGGTTAAATTAGCGATAGGCCATCATTTAAGTTATTAAAGTAAGTTATTAAGTATTAAATCATTTAATACTTAACTTGTACTTCAACTTTGCAGAGACTTTCTATAGAATATAAAAGAAAGATGTATCAAATGTTGTTTTGAAGAAATAAAAAAAAATCAGAGGGAAGCCAAAACAAATACATTTTCTGAGAATAATAGGTACCAAGCTATTTGCGTGTTCAGGCAGGAAGAAGAATCTGGTATAGCAGCTCTAAGATCTTCTCTCCTATCTCATTTCCTAATACTGTTAGCCAATGCATCTGTCAGCTTTAAGATTTTTTATCTCTCAGCAATCAAAACAAACTAGTTTTATTTTTAAATAAAGGCCTATGACAAGCCACTATCTTCAGGATGTTCTTAGTTTAAAATATTTGTATTTTCCATGCTTAGGGAACAGAGGTGTGAAACATCTGTTTTCTCAAGGTGAACTTCTGAAGGCATGCCTGTCGCTTTCCCATGCAAAATCGGTATTGATTACTACAGGATTTCCCACCCATTTCAATTATGAACCACCTGAAGAAAATGATGGGCCACCTGGAGCCATTGCAATGGCAGCACTCTTGAAAGCCATGGGAAAAAATGTAGCTATAGTAACTGATCAAAGAGCTCTTGATTTAAATAGGAAGATTATCAAGGAAGCTGTTGAGCAAGGTATGACATGGCTTATTTAGTTTACTTTACTTTTACTTACTTTATTGTCATTGCACCTCATACAATGAAATCAAACACCATCTTCATTGCACATCATGACTATGAAAATAAACACAAACACACATCCTTCATCCTCCACACATTGAACCGAAAACCCCCAACACTGCACTATACAGTAGAATTCCAAAGAGCTACTGCCCTGGGATAGAAGCTTTTTTTTCAGCCTATTTGTGCTTGTTTTTATTATTCTGTACTGTTGCCACATGGTAATAGTTCAAAAAAGGGTTCCCAGGATGAGATGGATCTTTGAGAATGTTTTGAACTTTCTTAAGGTAGCAGGAGCTATAAAGCTCTTCCAAAGAGGGGAGAGGGCAACCAATGATCTTCTGGGCAATGACGTTAATTCTCTGGAGTGCTTTCCTATCTGCTACTGTGCAGTTGGCAAACCATACAGAGGTAGAGTTAGTTAAAATGCTCTCTATGGTGCAGCGGTAGAAGGTCACCAGCAGTTTTTCATTCAGTTGTTGTTTTCTGAGAAGTCTCAGATAGTATAATCTGTTCCTTCTATAATCCACTATAAGCTCCTTGGTCTTATTGGTGTTGAGGACCAAGTTATTGTCTCCACACCACAAAAGCAACTGGTCCACCTCATCTCAGTAGGCAGACTCATCCCCACCGGAGATGAGTTCCCACCACTGTTGTATCATCTTTATTATTATATAATTATAACCTATTGTGTTAAAGAGTGTTTCAGTTTCTTAAAAATTGAAACTGTCCACATTGTACATTTTCATTTATTACTGTTGACTTCTTTTTTACGTTCCTGTTTTAAAATCTAGAATAGTTATTTTCAAATGCATGTATTATGACAATTCTGCTAGAATGTGGTAGGAAATTACATTCTTATGGTAGTTTTTTGTAAAAAAAATATGTAAAACAAGAGATACTTATGTAAATCTACATAAGTAGGTTGGCTTCATTTATCACTGTAAACTATAATGTGATTTATTTTCTTCATTTATTAAATTTGTAGGTCTCCTCTTACCATCAAATGACTAAATGGTTGACAGTAGCACAAAAGCAAATGAAATAATTAAAATCAAAACATTAAAACATCAAAAAATTGAAATGGTTAACATTATCAATAAGTTAAATAAAGGATCAGTGTGTTATAGAAGAATCATAGAATAGAATAGAATAGAATAGAATAGAATAGAATAGAATAGAATAGAATAGTTATTGGGGATGGATTTAGGATACATAATTAAGTTTACTTTCTTGTAGTGAGTATTATGTTTACCTGAAAGAAAGACAATAATTTTTTCCATCAAAATATTACACTTTAAAATGGAAAGGGGTCTTATATTGCAGTTAAACGTTTCACCCAGTATCTTGTGGGATTTAGTTATTCTATGCAACTGAATTGGCAATAATATAATCAAGATATAAAGACAGAAATAATTTGGTTTTAAGAAAGATTTGTTAAAAAAATATTTTCATACTCTTCAGTAGAAAATCAGTAGAATTTCCACATGTTTAGGTCCAACTCAGTCATATCTTTCTTTACATTCATCCTATTTTACAAAGGAGGAGAATGTCCTGAAAATTTCAGCCACAGAACTGATCCTATTTAACATTGGGAAGACAAAACAAATAATTCTGAAGCAGTGATCAGGCATGTGCAGATTATTTGGTGAGGCACTCTTTAGCAACATCTGTCTCTGAAACTGCAGCCTTTGGGAGGGAAGTAAGTGCAGGTGCTTGAAGGCACAGCAGCTCCTGCATGCCTGGAAGAGCCCTCTGCACAGGCCCAATAATGGCGTGATTAATATCATGATCCCAGTTATTTATTTTATTTTATTTATTTTGATTTGTCAGTCGCTTACAAGATAATAGATATAAGTATATACATAGTTATGAATACATGAAATGGGTACATATAAGAAAAATAACAGAAACAATAGGACAGGGATGGTAGGTACGTTGGTGCGCTTATGCACGCCCCCTTTGTTTTTCTCTATATTCTAGAAATACTGCAAACAACTGTCCCTGTAATCAGCTACCAAAGCAATTCTCCAGATTCAGCTCTGCAGTTCTTATGTGAAGATGGGAATCCAGAAAAACCAAGGTATATGTCCCCAAAAGCAAAGCAATGCCAAACTTAACATATCTCAGACAGGTCTAGGACAATTTGCCACAGTCAACTCACTGCACCCAACTCGCCACAGGACAATTTAATGCTGTATTAATCATTTCATTCAATTACTTTTATTTTTGGTGACCATGTTTTGTCAAAATTACTGTAACTGTTGTATTTCTGGATTGACTTTATTTTATTATTATTGTCTACAGTTCCGTCAGAATTAATTTAATTTTTGTATTTATTGAATTGTTCCTTGGTGCGTTGTCCCACAGCGAGTTGACCACAGTGAGTTGGCTGTGGTAAGTTGGCTGCAGCGAGTTGGCCATAGTGAGTTGTCCCATTCCAATCTCAGAGAGTCTCTAATACAAGGTATAGGTACAAAGCTCGGCTCCTGAGGCCATATAATATCACAGATGCTAGCTAGATATCATCTGGTTGACTTCAAATACCAAAAGTGCTTTAAAGCAACTTTTCTCTGGGAGCCTGTCTAATCTGCAACTTTCTCTGGCAAAGATAAGAGGCTGGTATATTTCCTCCAAACACTCTCTTAAAACAGAAACAAATAAACAGAGGGCATGAAAGACAATGAAGAAAATTACCTATTTGCAGGGAAGAATTTTACTCAGGTTATAAACCAGATTTCCTCAACCCGCTTAACTCCAGCTATAGTTGGGAATAAATGGTGCTGTAATCCATGTCAGTTGGGCAGCACCATTCTATGAATGGTTGGAATTAGCCAAAATAAATATATATTATTATGAAGACTAAAGTGATAGATTGAGGAACTGGAACAACTTGGATGGAGCAGGAACTCAAGGACATAGAGTTGAGGACACTAAATAACAAAGAACTTTGCTTATGGTTCCTAATAGTAAATGGAATCTTAGAATAACAGACTTGGAAGGGATCTTGGAGGTCTTCTAGTCCAACCCCCCTGCTTAAGCAGGAAACTCTATACCATTTCAGACAAATGGTTGTGCAATCTCTTCTTAAAAACTTCCAGTGTTGGAGCATTCACAACTTCTGGAGTCAAGTTGTTCCACTGATTAATTGTTCTGTCAGGAAATTTCTCCTTAGTTCTAGGTTGCTTCTGTCCTTGATTAGTTTCCATCCATTGCTTCTTGTCCTGCCCTCAGATGCTTTGGACAATAGGTTGACCCCCCCTCTTCTGTGTGGGAATCCCTGAGATATCGGAACATTGCTGTCATGTCACCCCTACTCCTTATTTTCATTAAACTAAACATACCCAATTCCAGGACCCATTCTTTGTATGTTTTAGCCTCCAGTAATGAGTAATGATGGGTACAGCAAGCTACCATTAGCATTAGAACTGAATCTTAATTCTTTTTAAATTCTTTTTCTTTAGATTTAATCATTTGATAGCAATAGAACGTGCTGGGATGGCTGCTGATGGTAATTACTATAATGCAAGGAAAGTTAATATTAAGCATTTAGTAGATCCCATTGATGAACTCTTTATAGCTGCACAAACTCTCCCAGGAATTACTACTACAGGTACAGTATGTGTATTTTCCTTCAGTGATCTGATAAAAGTATTAGTGTTACTATGAACCACCTGGAGACAGTAAGAATAGGGTCTATTATGCAACTGGAATAATTGAGTAGGACAAAAGAATTGGTGCTGAAATTGATAAGCAATATTTAGCTTCTTAAGGTTTCAAACATTCACAGTCATGGAATTTCTATTAGAGCAATTTCCAATTAATCATTATTTACTGATGCTCTTTGAAATTTTCTGAAATATGAAATGTTTTTTAAGAGTGGTGTGGTGGCCGAGAGGTGGAGTTCTCACCTCACAATCAGGAGGCTGTAAGTTTGATCCTAGGTAGAGGCAGATAGTTCTCTCTCTGGGCACACTGAGAATATATCTGCTGGAAAAAAATCCTCATTGGCGAGCATCCAGCCAGTAAACATTCAGCTCCATTCAGTTGCCCAGACTCCACCAAGGGATTATGGGCTTGTTAAAAGAGGATGATGATGGTATGTTTTTTAAATATATTAATAATGTGGCATTTATTCTAACCCTGCTCTTTGCTCGTATGAAGACAAGGTAAAAAAAATATACATAGAAGCAACACATACAGATGTGTTCCATAATTGCCCCTGCCCATTATGGTTGCATGTCATGATAGCCATTAAGTGAAATGGCCTCGCTTAATGACTTCCATTCCTTGTCTCCCTGATGTGACCATTAAACTAACATGAGGGTTGTTAAATGGAGCATGGGTTGCTTCAAAGTGGGGGAGACCCTTGGAGGCCTAGCGCAGGCTTGGGCCTGCTTGTCCCAGACCTTCTGTGGCCTCCTCCATACACACACACACAAACACAACATGACACCCTATGTTCTGCTTTCCACCTCTTGGATCCCCATTGGCCTTTACCCAATTCCACTGGGTCCCCCCAATTCATACCCCCTAGGCCAAGCACCTTTTTCCTCAGTTAACTTTTAAACAATTCCAAGGCCTTCCAGAGCACTGGAAAGAGATTATGTCATCACACAGCCATGTGATACAATTCTGGAAGCTGCAACAATGTGTGTGTGTGGGGGGGGGGGTATTCAATTTTTTTTACTACCAGTTCTATGGGCGTGGCTTGGTAGGCGTGGCATGACTTCATGGGTGTGGCTTGGTGGGCATGGCAGGGGAAGGATACTGTAAAATTTCCATTCCCACCCCCACTCCAGGGGAAGGATACCGCAAAATCCCATTCCCTCCTCACTCCTGGGGGAAGGTTACTTCAAAATCCCCATTCCCTTCACACCCCACTAACCTGCTTTCCAGCTCTGTTCTCCTGTGCAGGGCAACAAAAGATCAGCTGGGACTCAGGAGGCAGAGAATAGATGGGGGCAGGGCCAGTCAGACATGGTATTTGCTGGTTCTCCAAACTACTCAAAATTTCCGCTAACGGTTCTCCAGAACTAGTCAGAACCTGCTGAATACCACCTCTGATATATATAGCTATCAGAATGCTATTTTTGGTCGGTCTTAAGGGCAAATGACCCCAGGGATGCTGCAGGAGCCATAACTTTCAAAACAAGGTTGTATGGAGCTTTTGGGAGGTTAGCTGTAACTTCAAATGGCTGTTAAGTAACCAGCTGTATCTTGAAGACTACCTGTATGGGTTTGATTGCTTAGATTCTAGGAAGAAAGTAGACACATATAATTTAAACATGTTAATTGTACTCCTCAAAATAAGGGGAGACCTGGAACATGTGACCAGTTTGCACATACAAACATACAGCAGATGTGACATCTTGTTTCAGTATATCAATGCACTGGAAGGCAAGTAAAGAAAGGATAAGTGAACAAGTATAAGTGCTTTGTGGTCAGTTTGGTTTGTACATACATGTACAAAAATTATAAATCCATAAAAATTGCATGCCTATTGTAGCTATAGTATTCAGCAAAAGCAATGCATGCAAAAATTTTGAATTCTATGTTAATTGCAAATTCAATAAAGCTAATTGGACAATAGTGAAATAAAATGCATTGCTCCATGTGTGTCATGATTAACCAAACTAGGTAATAAAGTTTAATGGTATCAGTAGCATATTTTAGAATAGCGGTCTCCAACCGGTGGGCCGTGGAAAATTTTTGGTGGGCCACAGAAGAAATGGCCCCCAAAAGCAATTAATCTAGGCCGCGCAGTTCTTGTGCCGCCCAGCTCTCCGATGGACCTTGGAGTCAGGTCCCTGAGATGCACACGCCAACCAGCTCCTACACCCAGCGCCAGCGGCAACAGCAGTGCCCTCCCCCAGCACCCGCTGTCAGCTGTTCCCCATTAGTTCTCTAGCTTTGAATTGCTCCCGGCTCTCTCTCTTTCCTCCCCCCCACCCACGTGCAGGCAGGAAAGGAAAGGGAGACGGAGCCGTGCACAGCTCTCCCCTTTTCCAGCCCTTGCTGCCTCTCCCAACATCGAAGCCTCGGAAACACAGGCAAAGCTGCCACAGCAGTAGCGTCCTGAGTTGGCTTAGCATGCTCAGTTAGTTAAGAATTGCCCTACCCAGAGAAGGAAGTGGGGCTGGAGGAGAAGAAGGCAGTAGTGGAGAAGCAAGCAACTCAGGGCGCTACTGCTGTGGCGGCTTTGCCTGTGTTTCTGAGGCTTCGATGTTGGGAGAGGCCGCAAGGGCTGGAAAAGGGGAGAGCTGTGCATGGCTCCGTCTCCCTTCCCTTTCCTGCCTGCAAATGGGGGGGGGTGGGGGGAGAAGAAAGAGAGAGTTCCAGGAGCAATTCAAAGCTAGAAAACTAATGGGGAGAGCTGACAGCGGGCACTGGAGGAGGGGACTGTTGTTGCCGCCCCCACCGTGTGTGGGAGCATGCATCTCAGGGACCTGAGCCGGGAGGCACGAGAACTGCAAGTGGGAGCATTTGATGATTTTGAAGAACTCCTGGAACACAGTAGATTGGCGTTTTGCAGGTCTCAGTGAAAGAGTGAGCTTTGTTTCATCTCCTTTCCTCTCCTAGTAATGCAAAAGATGCTTTCTCTCTCCCCGCCACCCCAAATAATCACTGGCTGTGGCTGGGTTTGGCAGCGAAGTGCCCCCAGGGACACCTTTCCTTGCCTGTCTTCAGGTGACACTTTTCCTCAACTGCAGATCTGAGCCTCTCAATCCTCCACCCGGGATCTGAAAGGAGCTCCCACTTTGTCCCACTCCCCTCCCCCAATTAATCACCAAGAGTGGCAGTCCTTCTGCAGGCAGATGCCTGCTGAGAAGCCCCTGGAGTGGCAGCCAAGGGGCACTGCCCCCCAAGGAGAGCAAAGCCCCCTTTCTGCCTCTGCTTCTCCCAGCGGCAGTGGCCCCGGGCCCCTCAGCTCACACACACACACACACACACACACACACACACACTGCCCGCTCTTCTGTCTCTGGAAGGAGCCAGGTGGGGGGAGGCTTCCAGCCCGGAACGTTTTATTTTGTTATCATTAAGCATTTACATTTTTGTTATAATTAAATAAGTGTGTGTGTGTGTGTATCATGTATGTATGTGTGTGTGTGTATGTATGCATATGTATGTATATGTATGTGAGTGTGTGTGTGTGTGTGTGTGTGTGTGTGTGTTTTTTCTTAAGTTTTCGCGGGTACTTACATGCATGGTATTCAGCTTTGTTCGGGTATTTTCCCACGTCACTGTAGTTGTGCTTTTCAAGTTGTAGCAACATTTCAGCAGAATCTCATCTGCCATCATCAGGCTTCTGCATTGTGCTCGTCTGTGAGTCAGACTTTTACAGTATAAATATAAAATTTTACAATATAAAATTTATATTTAACATAAAAAATTATATTAAATATATTAGCTTTTTAAAAAAATTCATATTAGTGGTCCTCGGGATTTAAAAGTATGAGTTTGGAGATCCCTGAGATCCAAAAGGTTGGCGATCCCTGTTTTAGAATGTGCTGGGATGGAGTATCTCCTTAATAATAACTTTGTAGGATTTTAAATAGAATTTCTCTCATACAATAACATTTAGTTCTGCTCAAGTTTGAAAACATGTATTCTGTGATTTTTTTAGAAGGCCCAAATAATAAGCATCTGTCATGCTACTGGAATAGCTGCAGGATTTTTTGTGTTCTTCTAAGCGCAGTCCTATACTAACTTCTTAGAAATAAGCTCCACTGATATTTGCCTGTTTTTTTCAGAATAGACACACGTAAGTCTATTTTGTTAGTTTTGTGTGAATAGAAGTTAACTATTATAGTTGTTACTTTGTAACCCTTAAAAATAATAGCTGTTACATTTTGGCAAGGTACAAACAAACTGCTAATTTTCCCCAACTGTACTGATATTGGAGAGTTATTTACCTAAAGTTGCAGATGAATAAACATACACAAATGCTGATATCAGCATTTGTGTATGTTTATTCATCTGCAAGTTTAGGTAAATAACTCTCCAATATCAGTACAGTTGGGGAAAATTAGCAGTTTGTTTGTACCTTGCCAAAATAAGTCAGCAGTTTAGACAACAGTACAAGTTTTCAATCACACTTATGATTTTGATTATTTTGTCATCTTGGCAAAATTGATAGAGAAAAAATGGAAGAAGTCTTAATTCCACAGTAAGATGTTTCATTCAATTATCTTTCTTTGTAGCTGTGAAAGCAAATACAAATGTTAATATGTATGTTTAATAAAGCTGGGGTATTTCAGTGGTTACCTATGTAGAGTGCAGTTTTCATGGGAAGTGTTCACAGTAAGCCTGTGACAGTTCTGTAAATAAAAGGTTATTAACAGTTCCGCTGATTTTTATTTTTTTATCAAATTTTCTATAAGGACCATTGGTATCAAAATCTATGTCTAGTATGGCAATATTCCAATGTAAATTTTTCCATTTTAATTTAGGTATTGGAGATGGAGGAAATGAATTAGGAATGGGAAAAGTAAAAGAAGCCACAAAGAAGCACATTAAAAATGGAGATGTCATAGCTTGTGATGTGGAAGCTGATTTTGCAGTTGTTGCAGGTAAGACTTGAACAAGCGAAAAAAAAGTATATGTGCAAAATCATAAGAAACGAAAACAAAAGCTGCATTGCCTTTTCTGATTATTGTATTAAGTCATCACCTAGGTAACTAAATAACTAAATAATCTATTTGTCATATTTGATACCTGCTGTGCTATCATGGTGACTCTGGATAGCTAATAGCAGTTAAAAACATAATAGCAAAATAGAATATATAACTGGCAGCTGTGGTAAAAAAAAATCAAACTAGAATTATCCCAAATAATCCCAAATGTTTTTTCGAGAGGCAACTGGACTTTCTTGTTTTTCATCGAAGAAATTTTACTTCAAAGCTAAAGAAGCTTCTTGGATGAGAAGGGAAACATCTTCAAAGAAAAACAAGAAAGTCCAGTTGCCTTTTGAAAAAGCATCTTTGGGACAACCATCACCTGAATAACTCGAGAATCCCCATAGACATCAAACTAGACATCCAACTAACAATTTTACCTCCATAGCCAGGAACAGAACCACATTTTCAAGTCCTTGCAAAAGATTTGCAGGGTTGAGGCTCATCTGTTTCCCCAAGTTCTTGCAAAATACTTTCAAACCACAAGTGGTACAACATAAAAGTCTCTCTTCCACATATTTCTGTGCCACTAACTTATTTATTTATTCAATTTAGCAGCCTATCTCAAACCAGTGACTCATAGCAGTGAGTATTCATAAAAACAAAACAGTTAAAACACAGTAGAAAAGAAAATTAAATACAAATTGCCAGCCAAGAGATATTATAAGCCATTGTTGTCACCATAACCAGGAAACACTTGGAACCCCAGGCCTGGCACATAACCAGTCATCTGAAAGGCAAGCTGTATAAGTACATGGCTCTCTTTTAAGCAGGAAAAGATGGCCTGGACTACTTTCTTATGGAGATTAAATCAAACCTCTTGCAGGTTAAACCTGAATACTCTTTTGTAGGAGGAGATGGTTCCACTTCTTTTGAAGGAAGGTGTGGTTTGCTCTTTTCTCAAGAAGCCATTTTTGGATCTGATAAACCTACACAATTTTCATCTGATTTCTAATCTACTTTAGAGAAAGTGGATTGAGAAAGTGGAAGGTTTCCTATGCCAGTGGAAGTGGATTATACTGAGAGGCAGGTTTTAGATCAGTAATGGCACTTATCATACTTGCTGATGACCTCTAAGGGGCTTAAAATGGGGGTGGAAGTGGCCTTCCATAATCTCCAGCAGCCTTTTAATACCTTTGACCATTGTATTGTTCTGGATCAAATTAAGAGCTTGGAAGTTGGGTTTTGCAGAGTTAATTATCATAAGTATGCTGAGGCTACTGAGACTCCTGGTCTACTCAGGTGAGGTCATTAAAGTTCTTTCCCAGTGCCTGGAAGGTCAGGATGGTAAGGCATAGGCTTTATCTTATCTATAACAAGATTGTTGGTTTTAGGGATCCTGGGACCTGAATATTATCCATTGTGGCTAGGATAGCATAATTTAAATTATTTAAATTAAGTAATAAAATTCCGTGCCCTGACTGTTGTTCACACTGGATAAAACTAGTACTAAGTGGAGTCCAAAATATCTAGGCCACCTCTAATAGGTACTAAATTATGTTCTGAAAATAATCTAAACTAGGTTTTAGAGAGTCAGGAACAAATTTCACTATTGCTATAAAAGACATAGATCAGCCTATTACTCTCTGAACAAATAAGCCAAAACTCAACAGGATTCTGTTGATCCTAGAAATGATGGGGAAGGCTGCATTTCCTCCTGTTGTCCAAATATTACTGGTGCTAAATTTCCATTATAGGCCTGTCCTTTGTATTAGTAAGTACCATTCAATTGTTTTAGCTCAAACGTTTTATTTAATGGCACTTTTCTGTGACAGGTGTTGCCAATTGGGGAGGCTATGCAGTTGCTTGTGGACTATATATCCTCAATACATGTGAAATACATGACCGCTATGTGAGGAAAGCTATTGGCTATCCCAAGTTTTCCAAGTATAAGAACTGGGCATCAGCATTACCTTCTGTGGCTAAGGTATCATTTTGAAAGAAGTTTTTCATGGAATAATAACTGTTTTCTGTGTTGGGTGATTGGAAGCAATATGCAGAGCTTGCAAACACTGGGTGATTGCTAGATAGCTATTGAAATTGAGTTGCTTTTGTTAAATACCATATACTGATTATGAGTCTTGATTTCACCTATTAGTTTTCTGGAGGAAAGAATGTGAGACTTTATAGTAGGTTAAGTACATATCCACAGCATACAGGGAAAACCTGTATAAAATGTTCTGCTACCCCCCGTCCCCCTAGATTGGCAAAAATATTGAATTTAAAACCCTAATTGTTGGAAGTGCGGGAAAGAAAAAGGCACTTATTTTCATATCTGGTGAACATGCCCAGAAGTGAAGAAATACTGGAATACAATCAGACAATGGTTAGAGGAAATTATAAATCAGAAAATAGAATTTTTTTATTAGGTATAATAACACAAAAATGTAGTAAAAAAGATAGGTACATTATATTGCATATACTAACAGCTGCAAGGATTTCGTATGTACAACTTTGGAAGGAGAAAAGGATACCATCAGAGGGCATGGTTATAAAGAAAATAATAGATTATATAGAGATGGACAGTCTAACGTTGAAATTAAAAGACAAAGAAGATTCAATATATTATAGAGCCTGGGATGCCTGTTATGAGTGGTTCAGAAATAAAAAGAAAAGAAAATGGCAATTAGGAAAAGAATGAGGAAGTATGTAAATATGTATATATGTTATAGAAAAGATTGAAGTGTAAGATGAAATATATTGATTTGTAACAAGAGTAAGATGTAATGGTCATGGAATAAGTAATCATATATTGAAAAATGTAAGGAAATGTAAAAGATGTCTTGATGTTGATAACAATGCATATAGTTCTATTTTATGTTTTCAAACTTTGGAATATCAATAAAATATTTAGATAGATGATAGATAGGTAGGTAGGTAGGTAGGTAGATAGTAGGTTAAATAAACGTGTGTAACTGAAGTCTTCATAGCTTAAGTTTCTAGCTTCCACGGCGATTCCTTTTTAAAACTTTCCTGAACTAACATGTGCTTGGTCATATCTAACCTATTAGCTATTTCTTTTATAACCTCTCAAACTTATAATTGTAAAGTAAATGTAGGTGAAAATAAAGTGTTCACCCTCATCAGGGTCATTAACGATTTTATGCCATTATTTTTGCAGAACTAGAACTAGATGGGGAACAATGCAATGCAATTTTGAATTTATGCAAGTTTTTCAGTCTTTCATCTTGTAAACTATAATAAGGTTAACAATTGGGACCTGAATTTCCATTGCTAAGCAGTGCGATCATAAAAGACAATGTCAGGTGATAACATTGCTTAGTGATGGCAATCCTGACATGCCACATTGCTGTCATTAAGCAAGGATCATGGGTTGTTAAGCAAATCTCAGGTGACTTGCAGGTAGGTAAGCAAGGCAAGGCCAGGGGTGGCTTCTGCTGGGCTTCTACAAAGTGAGAGCAACTTACTAAAGCAACTTGCAACTTTCCCTGCCAGCTTCCCCATTGAAGCCAGCCACAAATAGTGAGCATGTGATCTCAGGACATATTGTAAATGTGAGCTAGTTCCTAAATGTCCAGATCGTAATCACATGACCACAGGGATTCTGTGACGGCCAGAACTTTAAAATTGGCCATAAATCTCTTTTTTCAGCAGCCTAATAATTTTATAATTTTCATATTTTTTTCAAAAATACTAATAGATTTTATTTGTTCATAATATTCACTGAACAAATGGTCACTAAGCAACAGTTATCTCTAGTCTGTTGGCACAGATTCATTTATTCATCAAAACAAATGTGTGGGAAGCTGCTGAAATGTAATTTATTAAGATTAATACATATATTACAGAATACAAATCTGCAACAGAGTCTCAGTCACCAAGATGCCTGTGAATCATAATATTAATGATGTTGCATTTCCAGATGGTATTTCTCCTTCTTTTGCTTTCTTTCTCTTTATTTTTCAATAGCATCTGGAAATGCAACATCACTGATCCATCTTTTTGGACTTTCCTTCTTTCCTTCATCCTTTTTATCTTCCCTCTGCCATACCTTCAGATAGATTTTACAACTTATTCCTCAACTCATTACTTTTTTTACCCCTTTACTATGAAAGCAGGGCATTGGTAATTATAGATTATTTTATAAACTGAAATCATGGTGCCAAATGTCAACAGTATAAACATTAGCTTGGAAGTTCTTCTAGTATAATAGTATTCTAAGAAAGATGCTGGAAACAATCTAATACAAATGGATTCCATTTCTACATTTCCAGATTATTGTAATTAGATAGTGAAAGTGCATTTTAACATTTGAGTGACAAGAGTGCTGTAAAGCACTATGGGGCAGTATATAAGTCTAAATGCTATTGCTATTTTATAGTTAATGTGGAAATGTCTAGAAAGAAACAGGAAATAAAATCTTGCCTAACAAGATACGGTACTCTTATTGTGAACTTAAGCAGTAAATATTAAACTAAATTCCTGACTTTGAGCACTTTCATCTATTAAAGTAAAAACATAAATTTTAACAGAATAAAATTTGTACTGTCTATTTTACTATTTAGGAAGAAAACTTGCTGAAGATACTACAACGGCATTGTGTTCGCAGTGGAATAACTGCAAGTTTGGCAATGGAAGTTGATGGTCTGCCATTCTTTGACATTCATTCAAATTTAATCGAAAGGCTACGGGAGGAAACTTTGAAATAATACTCCATCTCTAAAAATATAGTATATTAAATCCATTTAGTCCAGAATATATATTACCACTACACTCCCCGATCAGATATCCTGCCACAATGTACTATACCAAATATTTTGAGACGTGATTGTACAGTAAATTTCTGGAATAATGTCAATGCAGAATTAATAGATTTCTCAGAATGATGTATTTTTTTCAATTATCTGTGTCAAGAGTGTTTGCATATTTGCAGCATGACTACTATTGTAAAACAACCCAGAAGCAAAACGCAGGACTTTGTGTTTTAGTAGTGGTTTATATACAAGGCTGCTATATACATACATACATAGATGTGTTAGGCAATCAATCAGTCTTCAACTCTATATGGAGAACTACAATGGAGATAGAACATGAGGAGAGAGAGAGATGCCCTTACATGGCCTCCCTTATATAGACAGCTTCTTAAAGTGATAGTACCCTGCTGACTCATCCTCAGTTCACCCTCATAGCTTATAACCTTATAGCAGCTGGTCAGCTATTAAATCTTCATTATCTTAATCTGACTAAAATATATCAATAATAAATTAATCAAGCATGTATTTTCTTAGATTTAAACAAGATCCATGTGTGCCTTATTTGCTAGATGCCCTGTAATTCAGGCAGTGGCAATTTAATTTGGTTGAATGAGTGAGTCAACTCTATTTTTCTCCGAATTTCACCTCAGAGAATCCAAAGGAAAGTTGCAGACACTTTTCTGAAATACTTTCTTCTCTTCCATAAAATAATAGGAATAAAAGGAGCACTTAGGCTATTGAGTTCAACTCTTTGCTCAGGGCAACATCCAAATTAAAATCCACAAAAGTCTATCTAGCTTTTCTTGAATACTTTAATAGGCACTGTCACTGCACTTATGAGGAGATTCTCAACTTTGAACCAGAGTCTGCCTTTTTCTAATAGGTTATTACATGTCTTGTCCTTTACAATGATAAAGAATCAGTTGTGGCCTTCTCTATGATACTACTCTGTGACTCCCTTCAATATGAAGAGAGAGGTAGCATATTCCCACTGAATTGTCTTTTCTTTCTGAATAAATGAATTCAGTTCTTTCTATCACTGCTCATAGAATGGAATTTCTAGTTCCAGAGTCAAGCTTGCTGTCCTTTTCTTGGTGTTTGAATTCACGTTAAGGACCATGGTTTCAGGAAAAAACTATCCTGTAATCTGCAACTCTTACACTGCAAAAACATATGGACTACACAACTCGATCAGGGCAAAACAATAGACGCAATCTACATAGATTTCTGTAAAGCCTTTGGATTCAGTGGTACACGATAAATTACTCCTAAAACTAAAATCTTATGGTATCTCTGGACAACTGCATAACTGGATAGAAGCATTCCTGTCAAACAGACAACAAATGGTCAAAATTGGAAGTGTCCTATCAAATTCTGTACCTGTCAATAGTGGTGTCCCCCAAGGCAATGTTCTAGGACCAACTCTCTTCATACTCTACATAAATGACCTCTGTGATCATATTAAGAGCAACTGCGTTATTTTCGCTGATGATGTAAAGCTGTTCAATACCACAGACAATACTGCTACCCTTCAAAAATATCTTGACTATGTATCAGAATGGTCAAACAAATGGCAACTTCAAATCTCAACCAATAAATGCTCTGTCTTATATATTGGCAAAAAAATCAGAAAATAAAATACAAGCTGAATAGTCAAGACCTTGTTGAGGATCCAAACTCTGTCAAGGACCTTGGAGTACTCATCTCCAATGTTCTAAGTGCTAGAGCCCACTGTAACTACATAGCCAAAAAGGCATTAAGAGTTGTTAACCTAATCCTACGTAGCTTTTTCTCTGGTAATATCACATTACTAACTAGAGCATACAAAACATTTGCTAGACCAAAACTCGAATACAGCTCATCAGTCTGGAACCACATTACATAGCACAGTTGAGAAAGTCCAGAAATATTTCACAAGAAGAGTTCTCTACTCGTAGAATACCTTATGCACCAGACTTGAAATTCTAGACCTAGAAAACCTTGAATTACGCCGTCTTCGGTCTGATCTAAGTATGGTATATAAAAATCATACATTGCAATGACTTACCTGTCAATGAATACTTCAGCTTCAACCATAACAACACAAGAGCACACAATAGATACAAACTCAAGGTTAACCACACCAAACTTGATTACAGGAAATATGACTTCAGCAACAGAGTGGTCAGTGTCTGGAATACTCTACCTGACTCTGTGGTTTCTTCCCCAAACCCCAAAAACTTCAACCTTAGACTGTCTGCTATTGACCTCACCCCTTTCTTAAGAGGTCTGTAGGGGGCATGCATAAGCGCACCAACATGCCTACTGTCCCTGTCCTATTGTTTCTTTTATTTTTCTTATATGTACCCATTTCATGTATTCATAACTATGTATATACTTATACCTATTATCTTGTAAGCAAATGGCAAATCAAATTAATCAAATCAAATCAAACCATGTCCACGATAGAAATATCAGCAAGAATCTGCCAGCAAAAATACTGCCACCATTAAATGTGGTTGGTTAGTCTTTTCTGCCCTTATATAGGTACTCCTTGACTTATGACCACAATTGGGACCAGAATTTCCATATCTAAGCAAGGTGGTTGTTAAGTGAACTGTGCCCAATTTTATTACTTTTTGCCATAGTTAAGACAATCACTGCAGTTGTTAAGTGAAACACATAGTTATTAAGTGAATACAATTTCCCCCATTTATTTTGCTTGTTGCAAGCCAGTTGGGTAGTTTGCAAATAGCAGCCACATGACCACAGAATGCTACAGCCATTGCAAATGCCAACCATTGCTGATTGCCAACCATTAGAATTTCGATCACATGACTGGGGGTGCCGCAGTGGTTGTAAATGACTGGTCAGAAGTCGCCGTTTTCAATGCTCTTGTATGTTTGAACAATTGCTAAACAAATGGTTGTAAGTTGAGGACCACTTAGACTTTGTTACTAAATTGTGCTGTGTTCTTTAGTCTATGTGCTCTTCTCTTCTTTGTTACCATAATCTTCCCGTTGTGATTACCACATTACCATGGCAAACATATCCAATGCAGTGTGTTTTAACAAAGAAAAGCATGGCTACTGTATTTGTTGTGGCATTTCTAATTTCATATTCGCATCCATTCGACTTAGTTCCGTCCTATCTGCCCTTTTCTACCCCCACATAAATCAGAACATGTGAATCCTTGTTATTTTTTAGGCTCTTGTGGTACTTTGCAAACACTGGAAGGTAAAATTTACTTAAGATTTTTTTTAAAACTGTTGAACTAGTTGAATTCTTGGACATTCGAAATACTTTTCTCTCTCGTGCAGTACCTCTCTGTTCTTCCTCTCATCCCTGTCTAAAAGTATCCCTTTTTATGCTGAAGTGGGATGCTATGCTTATGTGAGGTGGATGAGGTCAAACAATAGAAAGAGATGTAGCTCAAGAGAAGTAACAACTATATACAGCTAAAAATCATAACTGTAGAACTGGGGTTTCTTATCTCAGAAATGCAGCATTAAACAAGAGATTATAAATTGGAGAGACACTAACACTATGCTCAAGCTTGGTGTTAGAAATTAGCAGAGAGCAAAAAATAACTTGGGATTTGGAAAGTCAAATGTTAGACGAGAAATAGTAATGATGCTGGCAGTGACCAGAAGGAAGGAAATATATTAATAGCTCATCTCATTGCCTCCAAAACAGTCCATAAAAATTACAGCTCTTGAAGTTATTTTGATTTATGAATGTAAATTTAGCAATAGAAAATTAGTTGTGACTTTGTAAACTTATAGCTGAGCATATTTCAATGAACTTGATTAGATTAAATTAAATTACAAGTTGCAATTTCCAACTTCTTAAAATTAATGTTTTCTATAAGAATGCTTAGTATAGACTTACTGTATGACATATCGGGTAAGTTATGACATCTTGCTTTAATCATTTTTATACTGCAGTCAGATCAAAGTTTTAATCATCTTCAGCTATGTCTGTTTTAGAGTACCATCATCATTTCTCATGCAATAACAAATGCTAAACATCTTGGTATTCATCCTTACTTAGTACTATTGCATTCAGAGGATTTTGCCCCCTGACTTAAGAAGCACATTAGGGGCAGAATAAATTGGAGAGAGAACTATAAATTTTCCCCAAAAAGAAAAATATAACCAACAGATAAATGCAGGTTTAGTTGTTTGGCTTAGTATAGAACAGGGATTTCAAACTAAATTTCATTGGGGGACGCACTGGGGTTGTGTTTGACCTCAGGGTGGGGTGGGGGCCACCATGATATCACTTGTGTTGGGGAGGCGTCTGTGGTGGTCTGAGTGGGCTCCCGAGCTCTGTTTTCAGCTGCGATAGACTCCTGCAACCCTCTGCCAACAAAAACTGATCTTGGGAGGACCATGCATGGCTCTCACAAGATCCATTTTCACTGGCAGAGGCGCTGTAGGCTGGTCCTTCGCTGTTTCCAGGACAGCCTCATGGACCAGATCTAAGCACCCCATGGGCTGGATCCGCCCCCCTGAGCTTTGAGTTTGACACCCCTGATATAGAAGTTTGTTGCATAAAATCACTAATAAAATGAGTGTTGATCTAAACAAAGTCTTTCTTGGAGCAGAATATATTTCAACAATGTTATTCATTTCAGGTTCAGTTTTTATTCAATGAACTATGTGCATTTATATTGGACCATATGATTTAACAAGTTTGATTTAACATAGATTAGCATAGAAGCATTATACCTTCCTTTTTTTTTTACTATTCTAAAATTCCTAATATTCATTCTTTTGTTTGAGAAATCCACAATAATTCTGATCTAAACATGACTGAAGTGTTTGAATTGAAACTGCAACATTTTAGTTCAAACATTTACAAACATAAGATTACTGCTAAAGCTTGTTTGGCAGTTCTCAAATTAATTCCTTACACGTAATCCAAAGGATATGTACAAATGTTACAAAACTAAGTTTTGCTGTTTATTCTGTATAATGAAGAAATAGCACCAATTGTAAATAAATACTATTTTTTTCTTAAGTGAACCTAACAACAGGCATTTAATTTTTCCTCTACATATCTTGCAATGGAATTGTTTGTTTAAGGCAGTTTTTAAATAAGCTTCCATTTACTGAGTTCTATTATTGGCCAGGAATAAATATATGTCCATACAATAAACTTAGTTGAAACCAAATAAACTATTATGTTTATATTAAGCTACTAATAATTGATCTAGTTGTGGATTATTAAAAATTAATCTAGTTGTGTGGGTTTGCATGATGCTCTAACTATAAACTAACCGCATAAGCTGGGTTTTCACAAGATGCTGGGATAAAAATTGGTGTGGCTAGTTTTTAAAAACACTACCAG